ACAGTTTCAGAGAAAGACACTACTGCAATATGCAATTTGTGTTCTGCAAGGTTTCTGAGATTTTCAACACAACAAAGTCACCTGAAAGTTTGTCATCGCGACAAAGATTAGCACTACCAAACCAGTGTGAAACTTCGAAAACTGCAGGAAGTTCACCAAAGACAGCCCAAAAGCTAAAGCAATTAATGACAAAGTCATGGGATTTATAGCACTAGACAACCAGCCCTTTTTCATGGTTGAAGACCAAGAATTTCGCCGGCTAATAGCACATATGAAGCCCCCATACATAGTCCAAATCTGCCATGACTTTGAATGTTTCGCTTCCTGCTCTGTATGATCTGGTCGCCACACACATTCATAGTCTCCTCGATACCAATGTGAGTGATACGCTTTACCACGGACATTTGGACTTCTGACCTTAGCCTAGAGAGTAATGGGTGGCCCAAAGGTTAGAGATGTGAGCTTGTGACGGAGGTCACCAGTTCAATCCCCGGACCTGAAGAATAAATCTGGGTGTGGAAAGTAAAACAAACAGTGCTTTCCCTCCCTCATGTACCACCACTGAGGTGCCCTTGACCTTCAGCAAGGTCCATGACCCCAACTGCTCCAGTGGATCTGCTCAGTGGCCAGCAGACTAGGCTGCGGTTGTACTGGGCAGCTTCCAGGTGTGAATGTGTAACGGTGTGATTGTGATCAGGGAGGGGAGGTTTTTATAAAAATATAAAGAAATTATTGGTTACTGGATCGGTATCGGCCATGAGAAGTAGACAATTATTGGTTAGTGGATCGGTGTGAAAAAAATCCATCTCGTGCATCACTATTCAGATCCTTTATCTAAGTAAAAGCAGCAATACCACACCATGAAACAAAGTCCTCTATTCAAAACCCTACTTAAGTAAAAGTATGTAAGTATCATCAGCAAAAGTAACAGTATTCATAGTGCAGTAAAATGTTCCCTGTCAGCGTTTTACTATTTTATCTGATGCTTCGGGATTAATATTACTGCTGCAGGTGTTTAAGGTTGTGGTGATTTTAATTATTTATATACTGTTGGGCAGTTTAATCTACAGCAATGCATCATATTCTATAAGATCATCGCTGTCCTGTGAGAACCACGTCTCTCCTGAGCTCAGAAAGCTCTATTTTCAGCTTTGAGATGATTCTTTTTGTCTTAAATAGTTTATTTAGCTTAAGAAGGAGAAATTTCTCAACCCATAAAGGAACTCTTTGCCATTAAGTTTATCAGAGACATTCACATTCCAAATCACTAAATTTGAAGATACATGGTTTTCATGGTGCTGTGTGTGTAGCATGAAGGGACTACAAACTGTCTTTTTATTATACAACCTTGTGTTGCATAATGACAAATAAACTACCTTGTACTTTGTAAAGTACAAGTACCTCGAATTTATACTTAGATACAGTCATTGCTGGGTTTAAGTGTCTTGCTCAAGGACATTTTGACTCAAACACCTACTCTACCAACCTGAGCTACAGCTGCTACAAAGATTTTGATGGGAAAGATTTGGTGATGCATTCGATTTGTCACCGGCTTTGTCCTCCACATACAGCCAAACAGTTTTTTTCTTCTTTGTAAGTAAATATCAAGAAAGACAGATGCAAACCCTGTCTCCTAGAACTTAGGTTTATGTAATAAACACAAGTAGATCATAGGTACAGTCGTGAAAATGTATACAGACATTTTTGCAGGCGATGAAAGCCCTACATTTTCATACCGCATCATTTCTAGGAGACAGGGTTGCTTAACATATATACATATACTTTATTATAATATATTATACTTTACTTAACTGTGTTTATAAGTAAGCAACAGAGACGATTATCAAGCCATACACTATTCAGGAAGTATATACACAATTCAATAGTACAGCCACAAAGCATGAGCTGAAACTTGCATTCCATCTGCTTATTGAACACAAATGTTTTTACAAGAGCTATTATTGGAAGTACTGATATGTGGCTGCTGAAGGACAGACTGTTGAAGTTGCTCCACTTCTAAAACACTTGCAGTGGGAATTGAAGCTGTTTAAACAGAGAGGTAACACAACCGGAAACACAACATAACCCATCCAGTGAACATCTTAGTGGGAGGAAAGTTTTCAGGATCACAAACAAAGAAAAGAGATGGAGCTTATGGTAAAAAACTGCGCATTCACCGTCCAGCTACACTAACATGCAGGTTTATCTAATTTGTGCTTTTCTATTGCAGTATTCTAACCCAAACCAGGAGTATACTGTTTACTATACTGTCTTCCTCTGGCTTCCAGTAATATTTAGAGTTGATTAAAATATTTTATTGAGTATTTTTTACTACTTGCATCTGCAGGAGCTGCAGAAGAGATCAGATTATGCATTTCATTTTCATCCAATTTATTTTTACTAGCTTGCTTTTATTATTCCAGTGGCTGGGATCTAATATTGAATGTGTAAGTGTCCTTACTTACACTTCTCCATACACGACTTAGCACTGTGCACTACATATTGCACATTGCACACTGGTACCAAATAAGCACTGTGTTATTATCATTATTATGTGTTATTATTAATATTGCTTGAATGTGATTTATCAGAGGGTGGGAGGGCAGAAGTCACTGTAGGCTGCCTTGCTCTCGATTCAACGTGACACTGTGAGGCCATCTGTGTTTGGATATGCAGGTCAGCGGGAGTCGCTTCAATTATGTTTCTGTGTTTATGCACTGTGCACTGTAGTGATAAATAACTAAACAAAAGATCAGGGGCCATGGTCACAAACATCCTAAGGCAAAAAGTGGCTAAGTTAAGAGAAAAACAAGTCAATGTTTTACTTTGTTATCTATCTATCTATCTATCTATCTATCTATCTAACTATCTATCATACATTTTTTTATGTAATTTTCATTTTTCCGAATAAAATTTTAAATAAATATAATTTAATTTATATTTAATTAGTAATTTATTTTAATTTTCAAATCAGAATTTCATGTCATTCATTTAAATGTAACGTCATCTATTATTTGATGTAATTAGTTTTTTTTATTTATTTAAACAATTTTTAGATCATAATGTAGGCAGGTCAGTTTCTTCAACTAAAGCATTACAGAAATAAATAAATAGAATGTTTTGCAGACATTTCCATTCACTCCGTATTTCTGCCTGTGGCCCTGAATTCATCATGAATTTCCCAAAAGTGTCCCAGTTGTATATATAATTAGGTTTTCTTCTTCTTCTACACGAGTTTATCAGGATGCCTTCGGCCTGGATGAATTGACAGTAAGTCTGCAGACAGCCCAGTTAGCAGCTTCTTTTAGAGACCGTGATCTCGGTGAATAAATGGTTTTAATATACAGTATATGGAAATGATAGTGGCCACCTGTCTTCACTGACAAATGTTTGCAGTCTGTAATGAAACCTCAGGTGGAGACATTCTCATTTTCTACTAATGCACTTCCCAAAGTGCTCTGAACTTTTTACACACGGCTCTATGAACTAGCTTTTCCTCCCCTGGCTGGAAGACCATGTCAATCCTGAGGTTTACTGCGCCTGAAAACGACACTACGAGAGCAGAGAGAGTGAACCCAACAGTAGCAATAAAGTGCCTACAAAATAATTATAATATTATAATGACAAGAGATCAAATGATATGTGTAAAGTGAAAGAGGTCGATCATAAAGACGGACCTACAGAGAATTATCGCCCAACTCTGCAGCTCCCCTCAGCTTTGCAGAACTTTATAGCATCTTAAGGCTCATTGTTTTGGTTTTCAGGCCCGAAACTTTAATGTTGGTGTTCACTCTCACTGCTCTCATCAGCGTCAAGGCAAAAGCTCAAACGGTCCAGAAAATGTAAGCAAAAGTCATGGAGTGGAAATGTCGATTGATAATTGGTCAAACAGTCAGAAGGTAAAAAGACAACAAACCAGTCCACATTTCTACCTGGATATATGGTACATCACTGAACACCATCAGGCTCATGTTGATTCTGAACTGGAGCTCATATAAGCACTTTGGAGGGTCAGGCATACGAACATCTCGTAAGAGAGTTGGTATTCAATAATTTAACTGTTCCTGACTGTTGCAGTACGTTGCCTTTGCCTTGTTTATTGTGTGAACCAAACACCAAGGTAAACTTGAATACGGTAAAAACTTAGTTGGTAATAAGTATCATACATTCTCTCTCTCTCTCTCTCTCTCTCTCTCTCTCTCTCTATATATATATATATATATATATATATATATATGTATATGTATATATATGTGTATATTATAACAATAATACATTAAATAGTTCAGTAATAATAAATAAGTACTATTTTAAATGACACACTGAAAACACAAACACCCTTAAATGAGAATATGACTAATCAGGTTGAATCTGGTTTTTACCGTCATTTTGGTGAGTTTAAATTCTAACTCCCACCTCCTCAAATATTCAAGGCGTCAACTTGGAGCAAAAAATGTACCTTGACAAGCGCAGTAGTTCTCAAAAAAAGGGAGCGTGAAGGTGTTAAAACCCCACTTTTTTCAAACCAGCTGTCTAACCTGAAACTGTTTTGAAATTTCTGTAGGCAACGAAGCAGCCAGACATGACCAGCTGTTCCATTCAAACCAAACTACCCCTGACGGAAGTGTACACACATATATTTATTTTTTGGAAGATAAAAATACCAAACCATGTCTCGTCAGCCTTCAAACTTTCACACAAACGTCACCTCCCCACTGTTTCTCCTCAAAGTCACACGTTTTTGTTCTCCTCTGTTACATCACCACCACACTTTCCTCTCAATGTCACACCATCCTCACCTCCTGATTCTCTCCCTGAGCTACATAACTTCACCTCCATGTCTCCAGGTGATACAGAATGGAGCTTCTGCGGGGGGGGGGGGGCTTTGCTGGTACTGCCTTACTCTGTCTATTATGACCAGTAGTATATGTTGCTAGCTAATGTTAGCAAACTTTCCTTTAATATGAAGACTCTTGCAGCAGCAAACATGCTGTACTCACCGCTGATCCACGTGGCCTCGGGGTCGTGAACGCTGAACTCAGTTTTGTACAGATCTGCCACACTCAGACTGGACTTGCTGCTGCCGGGGACTTCCGCTGGGAAAACACGGTAACCTCAAGTCAAATCCAGTATTATTCTTACAGCTTTATCATTAGAGAACAAAGGATGATCTGAAGAGGAAATAGCAGTAAATTAGCATACGGGGAGTGAGGACGAACACAGACATGGTGATTAGTGAGCAGACCACTGCAATCACCAACAGAGAGATGGCAATGCCCTTCCAATTCCTCTGCGGGGGGCTGACGTCCACAAACTCCTGCAAGCACACAAGAAAACAAAAAAGTTATCATTGTTGCATCCCACCAACTGGGCCGGTGTAAAGAACTACAAATGTTAAAATACCCAAATGTGATTGTTGAACATTTCCATGTTCATGAATCTTCGCTGTAACAGCCTCCACTCTTCTGGTTTCAGACTTTCCACCAGATTCAACATCTGCAGGGATTTGCTCCCATTCAGCCACAAGAGCATCAGTGAGGTCCAGCACTGATGTTAGGTGATAAGGTCTGGCACACAGCCAGTGTTCCAGTTTGTCCCAAAGGTGTTGGATGGGATTGAGGTCACAGCTAAGAAAACCATTTCGGGAAGTCGGCCATTTTGAATTACGGCACATTTTTGGATGATTTACACACTTCGTACTTTAACAAACTCCTCCTAGGGATTTAGTCGGATCGACGTCAAATTTCTGCTGTGCCTTCTAAAGGCATTGACGATGAACAGTTGTGCTATTTGCGAGTTTTCGTCAATGGGCGTGTCTGTGGCGTTGATGATTCGCCATGACACAGGAAGTTGTTGTAAGTTCAGTGTACATGCTCACATCTGCACCAAACTGTACATGTAGGATGAGAGTCCCGCCCTGAACACATGTACATGCTGACATTCACCCACAGTTATAGCGCCACCTGCTGGCAACAGGAATTGACCTTTAACGAAGCAGCCCCCGCCGCACATTTGACCTATATGTACAAAAACACCGGATGTCCCTAATTAAACCTTACAAAATCTGATGTCAAATCATGGCAAACCTAAGCGAACAAGCAGCTTATGCAAAGCTCTCGGCCAGAAATATACTTGTGTTTTGAATCCCATGTAAAGGAAGTTGTCCAGCTATGTTTTTTTCATTTGAGAAATGTAGTCATGGTTTAGTCTTTTATTTCAGCCACAGATCTGGAGAAACTCATTCATTCATTTGTTTATCTCCTCCCGCCTCGACTAATGTAACTGTAATTTGACTATATGACCCCATTTTTAGCATACTGGCACTGGCTGTCTGTTTCTTTTAGGATTGATTTAAAACATATTTTAATTACTTTTAAGGCCAGGCATGGGCATTCCTATATCTCTGAGCTTTTATCTCTCAATGAGCCAAGACACAGACTGAGATAGCTGCTAGGTCCAGGCTAAAAACTAAAGGAGACAGGGCCTTTGCTGTCAGGGACCCTACACTGTGGAACGGTCTACCAGAGGAGAGCTGGCTCAGTCTGTTCCTGGATTCATCTCACTTCTTAAGACACATTTCTACAAATAAAGCTTTCACTGTTTGATGCCTAGTTTATTTATTGTCTTTATTTTAATATTGATTTGTTTATGTTTTATGTATTGATTGTGTAATGACAATTGTTATCTTTTATTTTATTTTGACTTATGCATGTTTTTATATTGATTGTTGTAGACCACTGTGTTATACCTATTGATACCTATTGATTTTATCTCTCTATTTTATTTTGACTTGTTTTATTTTGATTGTGTAAAGCACTGTGTTACCTGTATTGAAAAGTGCTATACAAATCAAGCTATTATTATCATTATTAATATGTTCCACACAGGATGAACTCTAATAACCTTGGTGAAGACCAATTTTATCGGCATCAAGTTCAAATATAATTTTATCCAATAGTTTGGTTTGTGACTAAATGCCTGCAGAACTAATGACATCCCATCAGCCTCAGCTGCACTTTGTGTAGCAAATGATAGCATGATGACATGCTAAACTAAGATGGTGAACATAGTAAATTATAGCTGCTAAGCATCTGCATGTTAGCACTGTCACTGTTAACATGTTAGCGTTTAGCTCAAAGCACTGGTGTGCCTAGTACACGAGGGTTGATTATCTAGAGCATTAACTCATGTATTCCTTTTCTTTTTCTTTTCAGATTGTACAGTTGATTCACTGCTACTTTTACTAACTGTAATCTTGTATTAATTCTCCTCAGCAGTCTCTGTATCATTTACAAAAATGTATTGATTTTAATGCCAGTGTCCTCTATCTGTCCTTGCTTCAGTTCACCAGACTGATCTCACGCTGCATGAACAGTTTGTTTTCAAAATAAAATATAAAACAATAAAAAAAGAAGAAGAACTAAAGGGCAACTCTGTAAGAAAACATTAACAGATGGAAACTGACAACTACTTTTTATTTCTTCATTATTTTCTATTGGCTGAATAAACTGGGTAATATGAGGCGACATTTCATGTTTTTATGGGATAGAAAACATAATGTAGTGAACAACGGTGTGGATTTGTGCATTTTACATTGAATAAATTTGGAATTTGGAAATTTGCTACCCTAAATTCCTTTCTCCTCCCCAGAGAAGAAGGGGAGGGGTCAAAGTTGCTTTCTCTAAGTGCTATCCCGACCATAAAACTGGCACCTTTTTGATTCCAAAGCTGATAACGCGGGGCCTGACTGTTGAACTGACAAAGGGACACAAACCAGCCATTGGCATCTCCCTGAACAGCCTATCAAAACTGGCCCCCCACACACGTTTCCGTGGCAATTGTTTTATTACCACATCAAAAAGGAAAACCCCTGTCTCACCTAAGTGTGACATGGTCCAGACACTGAACTTTGGATGACATAGGACTGCTGTCTCCAAAGACTCAAAGCATTTAATTAAATCTTTAGTTACCTGATTACGTTTGCCTCTATTTGAGTAGTTATGTTAACTGTTGTTGCTATCTGTTGTTGATATTAGTGCTGAAAAGAAGTTACTTGTGCAATGTTTTTATTTTCAGCAAGACACTCCTTCATCTAATGTAATCAATGCTTGTTCATAATACTTTCCTACAAAATCCCTTTAGAAATGATGACAAAGAAATGTTTTACTATACTCTTAATCGCCAGCTTGAATTTAAGGATGAATCAACAAATTCCCCGGTTCCTAAGGAGAGACTTCTTTGATCTTTGATTTAATCCAAGCTTTCCTCATGTAACCTGAGCTCCCCCAAGTGGACGAAATAAGTATTACATGCCCTCATCGGAAATGCCGTTAAATGTATAAATATCCTGACCACTAATGTGACAATTGTTTCCTGTTACCAAATGCCTAGAACAGTACAACCGTTCAACCATTGAGGTTCGATTGATGTGAAATGTTTGATTATAATACGTGCAAATAGATTTCTTTTCTTTAGACATTAAGTTTAGAAAGGCAGCCCCTTGGGAAACCTGAGACACCCCCTGGGGAACCACGCCCCAGGCAACAAAAGAGCGACACGCGACCTGCTCGCGCTCTTCTCTTCGCTGTTGGCTCTCTTCCACCCTGCTCGGCCCTCTGGACGCTTCGGCACGCGCAGCGTGCCTCGCCAGGCAACGCCCAGACTCGGCCAGCGAAACAAACAGGCCCTGAAGCTACACACCTTAAGTGCCGCGACATCGATCTGCCTTCAGTTTGTTTTATTTTCTTTATTTCTTTTGTTTGTTAAAGTTATCAGTCCGTTAAGTTACACTGGACTAATTCAGGAACGACCAAGTTCCATTTTAAGCCTTTTTCGTCGAGCCAACTTCACCGAGGTCAGACCAAGCCACGTGGTCTCGCCAGCTACAACGAAGGAAACCTGAAAACAGCCGAATTGCCAGACGGAGGAGGCGTTTTCAATCAGACACGGAGAACCCTGGAGAATCCCTAGCAAAAAGCCAGGAAACCCAGCTAGCGTGGGACCCGTGCAACAGGCCAAAAGCAGGCTGTCGACAAGCAGTAAGACTTAACACACATCCTGTGATCAGATGTCCATTTTAACTCCTAAATTATGACATTAGTTTACTTTCATTAGTTCTTCTATGCCGTATGAGTCAAATGCTTCCAACAACCGAACCTCCAGGCTCATTGTTCAGCAAATGTTTATGTTCCCTGTATCCAACCATCTTTTTATCACCTTAGTTAGAGAATAAATTCACTGTAATATAATCAAGAGCTGTGTGTGTTGCCTATTTCTAGTTCCTGCCAAGAGAATTGTCCCTTTAGATATGAGACTGACTGACTGATTTAAGATAATTGAGCGATTATTAACTAACTGATCACTAGTAATAATTGTATAATTATTCAAAACTACCTAGAGGTCCTGAGACTCTAGGATTATAACAACTCTGGTGGTGCCCTTAACGAGGAAATTTTGATTTTATGAATTTTAATTCATAATTGGGTATCAATTCTCATAAATTTATTAAAATGCATAACTAATAAATTTAGGTCTGCTACAATAAAACACAGATTAAAATCTATTTTATCGACGACTCAAGAAGACTTGTTAGCATCTCTAACATCTAACTACCAGGTGAATTGATTTTTGAATTCTGCAGTCCAGCTCTTATTATAACTGTGAAAGGAGACAGACTCTGCAGCTTGCATTCCTCCTGTCTAGACAGAACGGTGATTATCCACCAAAACAGCTCTAAGAGTGAAGTTGCACGATAAAATAAATATGAAACACTTGGGCTTGACCTGAAGAATGTAATCTGAGCTTTTGATTTGACACATATAACAGCCTTTCAGATGCTGCTATCTGTCCCAAAGGCAGAAACTCAGCAGTTTGCTTAAAGACTCTTGTACAAACTGTAACTTTTAATGTGACAGCATCTCTGACCCGGCTGTCAGGAAGTTACATCATTTCTCCAGACTGATCTTGTCACTCTCACTTCAGGCCAGGATGATGAAAGTATCCTATAGCCAAGACTTTAAAAGGAGTGAGAGAAAAGAGGAGAAACTAATGCAAGGAGGGCTTTTAGTTCAACCTCGGATTTGGCCAGAAAACAGCCGTGGACGAGGTTCAGGCTCAGAGGTTCCCAGCAGTGACACTGCAGGCAACTGTAATAGGTAGCTGTCCTATGGTGTTTAATTCACCATTCTTCAAAGCTTTAGAGTAAGACAGAGACACATCAGGGGAGACAGTGTGAAGCCTCTTTCACACATCAAACGTGTCAGACTGAGTGTTGACTTTTCCAGCACCAGTACTGGTTTCCTCTGTAAAAGTTACAAG